GAGGAACGTGTAACCTGATTCCCTACACCAATGCCTTAGCCACGCATTGCTCTATCTTATTACCCTCCATCTCTCCTCACTAGCACGTGGCACGGGGAGTAATTCCCCCCAAAAATACACTTGAGATCTTTCCCTTAAGCCCTGAATTTGGCACGTAGGACTTTTGGTCTACTTCTATCTGTGTTATTTCTTCCTGCGTGGATGACCACGATTGGTGCCTCACCTGCTCCCTCAAACATTTTGTCAACCTGGGACATCAAATCCTCAACTCGTGCACCCTGGAGGCAACTTAACATTCGATCTTCTGGGTCCGGTTTGCACAGAATTCTGTCTATAAACCAAATAGTTGAATCCCCTAACAACGCAACTTGTCCCATTTTCTTTTTCTTTTCCCCTCCTACTTTGACAGGCTGCTGAATGGTCTCGGCGGATGGCACATTCTTGCCTGTCTCAGACAGCCCTTGGGTTTCCATATTGTCTCTCTCCAGAGAAGAGAAACTGATTGAGAGCACCAGGGAAGCTGACCACGACTTACAGAGCCTTTTTTAACAGAGATTCACAGAGACCCACCCATCTCTTCTGAGTAACGGGGATCCCTCTCCTACTCTACCCCCAAGCATGGTCTTCTCCAATACTTAATTTATTAAATTTATAAAATTTATAAAATTCTCATCCTCCGTAATATTTTGATGCCAGTCGTTCAATAAGACTGACCACTTCAGCCTTGGGTTTATTGACCAGTTTGCAGTGGTTGTAAATGAATTCCTCCATAACCTGGGCCCGGGAGGCAAACATCCCACAACTTCTGCAATATTCAGTATTCCATTTTCAACGAAGTTTAACTTCAAACAGAGCTGCTTGTGGTTTCCCAACTGCTTATTAATAATTCCTATTGAGTCCTATTTCTATTTTTCTGCTTATTTTTATATCAGCACCTCCTCCCCCTCTACACCAAATTCCCAATCTCACCAAATTCCTTTACTAGATATTTCGATCGGTCCCCATCTCACTCGGGTCACCACCAAACTGCCAACTGACTTGTTATTGTCATTGCTGAGCTAAGCGCTCTGGGACGCTGCCCTGTGTGAAGGGTGCAATATAACTGCAGGTTCTTGTAACTTTAAATTTTCAAATCCAGTTAGTAAATAACAAGCAATTCCCACTCTCACCAAATTCCTTCACTAAATATTTCACTCTGTCCCCACCTCATTTCGTTCACAGCTCACTCCTTTGGGCTATATCGGCTCACAGTGACTGTTACTCTTACAGTGATTGTTACTCTGAGAGTGACTGTTACTCTCACAATCAGTCAGTGATTATGACTCTCACAGTGACTAATACTCTCAGTGATTGTTATCCTCACAGTGACTGGGACTTTAAGAGTGATTGTTACCCGCAGTGATTATGACTCTCACAGTGACTAACTCTCACAGTGATTGTTACTCTCAGTCAGTCAGTGATTATGACTCTCACAGTGACTGGTGCTCTCTCATTGTTGTTACCCTCACAGTCAGTCAGTCAGTCAGTCAGTCAGTGATTATAACTTTCACAGTGACTGTTACTCTCTTCAGTCTGTCAGTAATTATGATTCTCACAGTGACTGTTACTCTCATACTCAGTCAGTGATTATGACTCTCACGGTGACTGTTACTCTGACAGTGATTGTTACTCTCAGAGTCAGTCAGTGATTAAGACTCTCACAGGAACTGTTACTCTCACAGTGATTGTTAATCTGACAGTGATTGTTACTCTATTAGTCAGACAGTGATTATGCCTCTCACTCACTGTTACATTCACAGTGACTGTTACTCTGACAGTGCTTGTTGCTCTCACAGTCAGTCAGTGATTATGACTCTCACAGTGACTGCTAATCTCTCAGTGATAGTTACTCTCACAGTCAGTCAGTGATTATGACTCTCACAGTGATTGTTACTCTCTTAGTGATTGCTACTCTCATAGCCATTCAGTGATTATGACTCTCACAGTGACTGTTACTCTCTTCAGTCTGTCAGTGATTATGATTCTCACAGTGACTGTTGCTCTCACTGTGATTGTTAATCTCACAGTCAGTCAGTGATTATGACTCTCACAGTGATTGTTACTCTCACAGTGACAGTGACTCTCATTGTCCATCAGTGAAAATGATTCTCACAGTGACTGTTGCTCTCACTGTGATTGTTAATCTCACAGTCAGTCAGTGATTATGACTCTCACAGTGATTGTTACTCTCATGGTGACTGTTACTCTGGGAGTGATTGTTACTCTGACAGTGACTGTTACTCTGACAGTGACTGTTACTGTCTCAGTGATTGTTGCTGTCACAGTGAGTCAGTGATTATGACTCTCATAGTGACTGTTAATCTTGACAGTGATTGCTACTCTCACAGTCAGTGATTATGACACTCACAGTGACTGTTACTCTGACAGTGATTGTTACTCTCACAGTCAGTCAGTGATTATGACTCTCACAGTGACTGCTACTCTCACAGTGACTGTTACTCTCACAGTGATTGTTACTCTGACAGTGATTGTTACTCTCACAGTCAGACAGTGATTATGCCTCTCACTCACTGTTACTCTCACACTGATTGTTACTCTGATAGTGATTGTTACTCCCATAGTCGGTCAGTGATTATGACTCTCACCGTGACTGCTACTCTCTCAATGATAGTTACTCTCACAGTCAGTCAGTGATTATGACTCCCACAGTGACTGTTACACTCACAGTGACTGTTACTCTGTCAGTGATTGTTACTCTCACTGTCAGTCGGTGATTATGACTCTCACAGTGACAGTTACTCTGACAGTGACTGTTACTGTCTCAGTGATTGTTGCTCTCACAGTGAGTCAGTGATTATGACTATCATAGTGACTGTTAATCTTGACAGTGATTGCTACTCTCACAGTCAGTGATTATGACATTCATTCACTGTTACACTCACAGTGACTGTTACTCTCACAGTGATTGTTACTCTGACAGTGATTGTTACTCTCTCAGTGATTGTTACTCTCACAGTCAGTCAGTGATTATGACTCTCACAGTGACTAATACTCTGACAGTGATTCTTACTCTCACAGTCAGTCAGTGATTATGACTCTCACGGTGACTGTTACTCTGACAGTGATTGTTACTCTCGGAGTCAGTCAGTGATTAAGACTCTGACTGTGATTGTTACTCTCACAGTGATTGTTACTCTGACAGTGATTGTTACTCTCACAGTCAGACAGTGATTATGCCTCTCACTCACTGTTACTCTCACACTGATTGTTACTCTGACTGTGATTGTTACTCTCACAGTCAGTCAATGATTATGACTCTCATAGTGACTGTTAATCTTGACAGTGATTGCTACTCTCACAGTCAGTGATTATGAAACTCACAGTGATTGTTACTCTCTCAGTGATTGTTACTCTCACAGTCAGTCAGTGATTATGACTCTCACGGTGACTGTTACTCTCACAGTGATTGTTACTCTGACAGTGATTGTTACTCTCATAGTCAGACAGTGATTATGCCTCTCACTCACTGTAACACTCACAGTGACTTTTACTCTGACAGTGATTGTTACTCTCACAGTCAATCAGTGATTATGACTCTCACAACGACTGTTACTCTCACAGTGATTGTTACTCTCACAGTCAGTCAGTGATTATGACTCTCACAGTGACTGCTACTCTCACAGTGACTGTTACTCTCACACTGATTGTTACTCTGACTGTGATTGTTACTCTCACAGTCAGTCAATGATTATGACTCTCACAGTGACTGTTACTCTGACAGTGATTGTTACTCTGATAGTCAGACAATGATTGTGACTCCCACAGTGACTGTTACTGTCTCAGTGATTGTTGCTGTCACAGTGAGTCAGTGATTATGACTCTCATAGTGACTGTTAATCTTGATAGTGATTGCTACTCTCACAGTCAGTGATTATGACACTCACAGTGATTGTTACTCTCTCAGTGATTGTTACTGTCACAGTCAGTGATTATGATTCTCACAGTTACTGCTACTCTCACAGTGATTGTTACTCTGACAGTGATTGTTACTCTCACAGTCAGTCAGTGATTATGACTCTCACAGTGACTGTTACTCTGACAGTGATTGTTACTCTCGTAATCAGTCAGTCAGTGATTATGACTGTCGCGGTGACTGTTACTCTCACAGTCAGTCAGTGATTATGACTGTCTCGGTGACTGTTACTCTCACAGTCAGTCAGTGATTATGACTGTCGCGGTGACTGTTACTCTCACAGTCAGTCAGTGATTATGACTGTCGCGGTGACTGTTACTCTCACAGTCAGTCAGTGATTATGACTGTCGCGGTGACTGTTACTCTCACAGTCAGTCAGTGATTATGACTGTCGCGGTGACTGTTACTCTCACAGTCAGTCAGTGATTATGACTGTCGCGGTGACTGTTACTCTCACAGTCAGTCAGTGATTATGACTGTCGCGGTGACTGTTACTCTCACAGTCAGTCAGTGATTATGACTGTCGCGGTGACTGTTACTCTCACAGTCAGTCAGTGATTATGACTGTCGCGGTGACTGTTACTCTCACAGTCAGTCAGTGATTATGACTGTCGCGGTGACTGTTACTCTCACAGTCAGTCAGTGATTATGACTGTCGCGGTGACTGTTACTCTCACAGTCAGTCAGTGATTATGACTGTCGCGGTGACTGTTACTCTCACAGTCAGTCAGTGATTATGACTGTCGCGGTGACTGTTACTCTCACAGTCAGTCAGTGATTATGACTGTCGCGGTGACTGTTACTCTCGGGCTGACGGTTACTCTCTTGCAGTTGTTGTGTTAAAGTTGTTGGTGTGGAGCCTCCTCCCTCATCCGGGACTCGCTGTCCCGGTGCCGGTGCCGCCGCTGGAGCCCCGGTCACTGACTGCCTCTCACACCCTCCCACCCACCGCCCGAGCCCGAGCCGAGCCGAGCCCGAGCCGAGCGGCGGCTCCGGGCCTCCCTCAGCCCCGCACTCCCTCCCTCCCTCACTCCCACAGAGCCGCGCCCATGGCCGGTCTGTCGGCTCTTCACGGGGTCTCGACGCTGAATTTCCAGGAGAAGGAGTTGGCCGAGCGGCTGCGGCGCCTGTACCCGGCCGTCACCGAGCAGGAGAGCCCGCTGCCGCGCTCCTGGAGCCCGAAGGACAAGTACAGCTACATCGGCCTTTCACAGAACAACCTGCGGGTCCACTACAAAGGTGAGCGCGGCGGCGGCGGCGGGAGCGGCCCGGCCTGGGACCCCCCCCCCCCCACACACACACACACACCCCGGGCGGCAGAGCCGGGGAGGCCTCCCCCTCCCACAGCACTCACTGCCCCACACACACACCCCCGACACCGGCCTCGTCTGTCGCGGGGCAGGTACCACAGGGGAGGCCCCGGCCCCCGGGCCACCCCGGCCCCGGCCTCCCCCCGGGCCACCCCGGCCCCGGCCCCCCCCCCCGGGCCACCCCCGGCCCCGGCCTCCCCCCGGGCCACCCCCGGGCCACCCCGGCCCCCCCGGCCCCCCCGGCCCCCCGGCCCGGCCCCCCCCCGGGCCACCCCGGCCCCGGCCCCCCCCGGGCCACCCCGGCCCCGGCCCCCCCGGGCCACCCCGGCCCCCGGCCCCCCCGGCCCCGGCCCCCCCGGGCCACCCGGCCCCGGCCCCCCCGGGCCACCCGCCCCCCCCGGCCCTGGCCCCCCGGCTCAGCCCCTGGGTCACCACAACAAGGAAGTGCACAGTGCGGCCTGAGTCTCCCCCATATACCCCATCACACCCCCATATACCCCCATATACCCCATCACACCCCCATATACCCCATCACACCCCCATATACCCCCATATACCCCATCACACCCCCATACAGCCCCCATCACACACCACACACCCCCATATACCTCCATATACCCCATCACACACCATACACCCCCATATACCTCCATATACCCCATCACACACCACACACCCCCATATACCTCCATATACCCCATCACACACCACACACCCCCATATACCTCCATATACCCCATCACACACCACACACCCCCATATACCTCCATATACCCCATCACACACCACACACCCCCATATACCTCCATATACCCCATCACACACCACACACCCCCATATACCTCCATATACCCCATCACACACCACACACCCCCATATACCTCCATATACCCCATCACACACCACACACCCCATATACCTCCATATACCCCATCACACACCACACACCCCCATATACCTCCATCATACACCATACAACCCTATATACCCCCATCACACACCATACAACCCTATATACCCCCATCACACACCATACACCCCCATAAACCCTCTTAACACACCATACACCCCCATAGAACCCCATCACACATCATATACCCCCATATACGCCCATATACCCCCATCGCACACCATACACCCCCATATACCCCCATCACACACCATACACCTCCATACGCCACCATCACACACCATACACCCGTACACCCCCATCACACATCATACACCCCTATATACCCCATCACGCACTATGCACCCCCACATATCCCCATCACACACCATACACCCCCATATACCCCGTCACACGCCATACGCCCCCATATACACCCATCACACACAATACACACCCATATACCCCCATCACACACCATACACCCATATAACCCCATCACACATCATACACACCCATATAACCCCATCACACACTATACACCCCCATATACCCCCACCACACTCCATACACCCCCATAGAACCCCATCACACACCACACCCCCCATATACACCCATCACACATCATACACCCCCATATACCCACATCACACACCATACACCCCATATACCCCCATCACACACCATATACCCCCATGTACCCCATCACACACCATATACCCCCATCACACACCATACACCCCCATATACCCCCATCACACACTATACACCCCCATATACCCCCATCACACACCACACACCCCCATATAACCCATCACACACCATACACCTCCATAAACCCCCTTAACACACCATATAGCCCCTTAACACACCAAACACCCCCATATACCCCCTTAACACCATACCCCCCCATCACATACCAAACACTCCCACCACACACAGTACACCCCCATACACCTTATCACACACCATACACCCTCATATACCCCCATTACACACCATACACCCCCATATACCCCCATGACACACCATACACCCCTATATACCCCCATCGCACACCATACACCCCCATATATCCCCATCACACACCATACACCTCCATAAGCCACCATGACACACCATACACCCGTACACCCCCATCACACATCATACACCCCTATATACCCCATCACGCACTATGCACCCCCACATATCCCCATCACACACCATACACCCCCATATACCCCCGTCACACGCCTTACGCCCCCATATACACCCATCACACACAATACACACCCATATACCTCCATCACACACCATACACCCATATAACCCCATCACACATCATACACACCCATATAACCCCATCACACACTATACACCCCATATACCCCCATCACACATCATGCACCCCTATATACCCCCATCGCACACCATACACCCCCATATACTCCCATCACACACCATACACCTCCAACACACACCATACACCCCCATATACCCCCATCACACACTATACACCCCCATATACCCCCATCACACACCACACCCCCCATATAACCCATCACACACCATACACCTCCATAAACCCCCTTAACACACCATATAGCCCCTTAACACACTATACACCCCCATATACCCCCTTAACACCATACCCCCCCATCACATACCATACACTCCCATCACACACAGTACACCCCCATATACCTTATCACACACCATACACCCTCATATACCCCCATTACACACCATACACCCCCATATACCCCCGTCACACACCATACACCCCTATATACCCCCATCGCACACCATACACCCCCATATATCCCCATCACATACACCTCCATAAGCCACCATGACACACCATACACCCGTACACCCCCATCACACATCATACACCCCTATATACCCCATCACGCACTATGCACCCCCACATATCCCCATTACACACCATACACCCCCATATACCCCCGTCACACGCCATACGCCCCATATACACCCATCACACACAATACACACCCATATACCCCCATCACACACCATACACCCATATAACCCCATCACACATCATACACACCCATATAACCCCATCACACACTATACACCCCCATATACCCCCATCACACATCATGCACCCCTATATACCCCCATCGCACACCATACACCCCCATATACTCCCATCACACACCATACACCTCCACACGCCACCATCACACACCATACATCCCATATACCCCCATCACACACTATGCACCCCCATATAGCCCATCACACAGTATACACCCCCCATATACCCCCGTCACATGCCATACACCCCCATATAACCCCATCACACACCATACACCCATATACCCCCATCACACACCATACACCCCCATATACCCATCAAACACCATACACTCCATATAGCCCCATCACACACCATATACCCCTTTATACCCCCATCAAATACCATATACCCCCATCACACACCATACACCCCCATATACCCCCATCACACACCATACACCCCCATATACCCCTATCACACACCATACATACCCATATACCCCCATCACACACCATAATTCCCCATATACCCTATCACACTCAATACACCCCATACACCCCATCACACACCATACACCCCCATATACCCCATCACACACCATACAACCCCAAACACCCTCATATACCCCATCACACACCATACACCCCCATATACCCCCATCACACATCATACACACCCATATACCCCCATCACACATCATACACACCCATATACCCCCATCGCACACCATACACCCCCATATACCCCCATCACACACCATATACCCCCATCACACACCATAGATCTCCATATACCCCATCAGACTCAATACACACCCATATAACCCATCACACACCATACACCCCATCACATACCATGCACTCCCATATACCCCATCACACACCATACACCCCCATATACCCCATCACACACCATACACCCCCATACAGCCCCATCACACATTATACACCCACATATACCCCTATCACACACCATACATACCCATATACCCTCATCACACACTATACATACCCATATCCCCCATCACACACCATAAATCCCCATATACCCCATCACACTCAATACACCCCCCATACACCCCATCACCACCATACACCCCATCACACACCATACACCCCCATCACACACCATACACCCCCATATACCCCCATCACACATCATACACACCCATATACCCCCATCACACACCATACACCACCATATACCACCATCACACACCATACACCCCATATACCCCCATCACACACCATAGATCCCCATATACCCCATCAGACTCAATACACCCCCATATAACCCATCACACACCATACACCCCATCACACACCATACACCCCCATATACCCCATCACACACCATACACCCCCACATACCCCCATCACACTCCATACACCCCCATACAGCCCCATCACACATTATACACCCACATATACCCCCATGACACACCATACAACCCATATACCCCCATCACACACGATACACCCCCATATACCCCATCACACACCATACACCCCCATATACCCCATCACACTCAATACACCCCCATATAACCCATCACCACCATACATCCCATCACACACCATACACCCCCATATACCCCATCACATACCATACACCCCCATCACACACAGTACACCCCGATATACCCCATCACACACCATACACCCCCATATACCTCATCACACACCATACATCCCCCATATACCCCATCACACACCATACACTCCCATATACCCCATCACACACCATACACCCCCATACACCCTCATATACCCCATCACACACCATACACCCCCATATATCCCCATCACCACCATACACCCCCATCACACACCATACACCTCCATATACCCCATCACACAACATACACCCTCATATACCCCCATCACACACCATAATAATAATAATCCTTGCATTTGATATAGCGCTTTTCACGTCGGGAGGACGTCCCAAAGCGCTTCACAGAATATACTGTAAAGTGAATTGACTGTATATTTGTGGGCGAACATGGCAG